TCTCTCTCTCTCTCTCTCTCTCTCTCTCTCTCTCTTTCTCTTTCTCTCTCTCACCCTCTCTTTCTCTCTCTCTGCTCACAGACAGCCTGTTTGCGGTGACCAAGACTGGCCTGGTGATCAACGTGGCACCCTGCCGTCCTGTCCTACTGGCTGACCTCAAGCCTAGGGGCTGTCGTGAGTATCTGGGAGGGGGACCACTGGTCAGTGTTTGGGTCACGTGGTGTGTAAGGTCAGTGTGTGGGTCATGTGTTTGTTAAGGTCATTGTGTGGTGCACGTGCTGTTCAAGGTCAGTGTTTGGTGCACGTGTTCTTCAAGATCAGTGTGTGGTGCACGTGTTCTCCAAGGTCAGTGTGTTATGCACGTGTTGTTCAAGACCAGTGTGTGGGTCACCTGAGGCCCGAGGGTGTGTCACGTGTTGGTAAACGTCAGTGTGTGTGTGTTGCAACAACGGACGACAAGACATGGGATTGATGATGATGATGATGATGATGATAATTCGGGGGGGTCTTGAAACAATGGTTAATACTTTTTTTTTCATATTCCTCCACCTAACCGACCCCAACTCGTCCACCCGCCCCGTTAAATGTTCCATCTTCTCCCCTTATCACCGCCACCCTTACCCCCAGGGTCACCCAAGGAATGTGGACATCCAGTCAGTATGCGACTCAACGCGGACAAACATCTCATCGTGGTGGACGCCTACAGAGGACTCTTTGACGTGGACCCCGTCACAGGTATATCATATGTCGTCCCTGACTCACATAATGTCGTAGGCGTACGTCGTCACCGACTTACATAACGTCACAGGTATAGCATAAGCCGTCACTGACTTACGTAACGTCACAGGTGTAGCAAATGTCGTCATCGACTTACGTAATTTTTAGAGTCAACATCTCCACTTCCACGTATCTTCTTCAAGTTATGATCTTACACACAAAAAAAACCCCACAACAACAATAACAAAAATAACGTTTCCTGTGATTGTCGTCCCTCCACCTCCCCC